TTTTTGCTGAAAACCTAAGTGCCGGCTATCTTTTCCTATCCTTTTTTTAGTCATTTAGAACTGACTTATAACTATTTATAACTGTTTACTATCTTCCTTCCGTACTTATAAGTACCTTGTGTATCTCATCTTGGAGATACGAAAAGATACATAAGTCCCGTAAATGAGGTATATGTGGATGCAAGTTCGAACCAAACTTATAAATCCTTGTGCCTGAGTTAAATGAGTTACAAGTGCATTCAGACCACTTATAACCTGCCTTATAAAGTACATATAACTGACCTATCTCAAAACAACCCTCTGTGTAGAACAGGATGTGCGGCTTCCTTCGAGGTGCAGCCCTATACACCTCGAGACACCGTGCTGCCTGAGCCTTATAACTTAAAACAGAACGCTTTCAAATCTCAAGCCTTAGCCCCACAAGACGATCAAGGGTCCTTGATGCAGAACCGCCCATCATTCTCGCTTGAGAGCATCTCGTGCTAGGAGTATCTGCATCCAGTGGAAAGGCCATAGATTCAGTAGCACTGATCGTTCTGCCATGCCAGCTCCCCTCCAGCTTGGCCAAAACCCAAATTTAGGGTTTAGGGTTTGGCTTTAGGGTTTAGGGTTTTTGGTTTAGGGTAGCCACGCCTCGGCTGGACAGGCTTGGCAAGTGCACGTCCGCCTTCGGCGTACAAGCGGGGCAGAGGCAATGCTGCCACAGTTTCAACAACTGGGTCGGTCTTGCAGAAGACAACCATCCCAGATCTTCCCAAAATTTGGAAGTTTTTGAGTTGTCAGTAGTATTCGTGGGCGCCTGTTTTCGTGTTTGCGGTTGATGGAATGGGTTCAGTTGGACCAGCAATGCTGCCGCACAGCCACAACGATCCGTGACAGTAGAATTCGCGGAAAGGGACGCGGCGCATGCTGGCCAATGTCCCGTGGCCAACAGGTCTTGGAGCACTTTAAACTAGACCCCACATGAATCCGAGTCCGTAACTTAAATGGCCTAAAGTAGATTCCGACATCTGCCGTTAGCCTGCCATCTACGCTTGCTCCGACCATTGTTTGCTATACAGACGCCTATAGACCTGCAGAAAGCCGGGCCTGGTGTCACCTCCGTTGTGTCCGTTTGTGTGTGTGTGTGCGCAGGTATATGTCACACATACACATTTGCACGGTTCAGCGCGCTCAAGTGCGCGCCGAGCTGCAGCGCATCCAATGTTTTTCGTCTGACCTCCCTGGAGTGCAAAGCCTCCGGCAGGCTGTCGAGGTATGGAACGACTTCCCCCTCGAAATCCACATTCTACAGCCCTGCACCGTGCATGAGCAGCTAGATTTCGGAAGAGCTTTGAGCGTAGGCAAGGGTCAAGTCAAGCCTAGGTAAGGGCAATGTACAGCAAAACCCGCATCAGAAACCGGAGGAATTATTAGAGAGAACCTGATCCGAAAATCGGAGAGGGGGAGGGGCCTTCAGCAGAACACACGGGCCCCCTGAATTTCGTGAGGCGGGAACATCTATCTTCGTCCCGCGCCACCATTCCGAATCTCAGAACCAACCTTCCGTCTCAACCCTAAACCCTAAACCCTAAACCCTATATGGACCACAACCCTCCAAGAGCACTCCGTGAGGCTCCAAGATCGTCAATCTACAACGCCTTATCCCCAAAAATGGTTTCGGAAAAGTCCTGCGACGATGAACTTCCCCCCTGATTTCGCAAGCTGATACAGGGAGATGATTCCAGAAGAGGAGATCCCGGGGGCACGCCCTTGCGGTGCAGCTGTGAACTTAGGGTTTAGGGTTTAGGGTTTAGGGTTTAGGGTTTAGGGTTTAGGGTTTAAGAGCTTGCAATGCGTCGGGAGACCGTTAACATTTTGGTTAGCTCATGGGGGGGTGGGGGCGGGGGGGGGGCTTGGCATCTTCCATTTGACGCAGCTTAAGGTCGACCCTATATCCCCTTTTAAAGGGTTTAGGGTTTAGGGTTTAGGGTTTAGGGTGGTTTTTTTTATTCTTGTTCATATAGAACCCAAGAGGGCATTAAACAGAACAAAAAAACCCTAAACCCTAAACCCTAAACCCTAAACCCTAAACCCTAAACCCTAAACCTGTTCTAAGGGGAGTATAGAGACCACCTCTATGAAGCTGAAGTCGTTGCTCCTGCACGGTGCGGATGTTTGAAGAATGCATGTTGCGGGCCTGGCCGCGCTGTGCATGCGCAGATCTTCCAACACCCCTTAGTTAAGGAATATACCCCAATTTAAACTAAGGATCCTTATGATGAATTAGGGTATATATAATATACATAGTATATAGTATATACCTTAATTAAGGGGGTTTGGAAGATCTGGGTGCCTTTGCAACTGCTGCAAGCAAGCTTTCCGCGCAGGCTGTAGGGAGCGTCCGGTCCCGGCAGCTTGTCCAAAGGCACAAACCCTATAAAGGGCCCTTTTAAGGGATTATAAGGTATAGTAGCCCATCCTGGAAGGCCAGCAATCTTGCACAAGGCCTGAGTTCAGCAATGTGCCGCACACATTGCTGCACACATCACATGACGCACCCTGCAAATAGACCTGCATTCCTGGGTCCCTCTGCTCAGGCGAAACTCTACAACCCCCAAATTTCTGTAAATCTACAAGCCCCGGAAACCCTAAACCCTAAACCCTGAACCCTAAACCCTCTTGGTTTCAAAACGCCAGGTTTCAAGACTCGGGGGGTCGGCTGCCCTGCTGTACAGGATCGAATCCCCACCCCCTAACATTCAACCCCCCCCCCACCCCCTCAGATTAAATACCCCCCCATTATATAGTTATATTGTAGTATATTGGGGGGTTTTTAATATTGGGGGGCAGGGGGGGGTTTAATATTAGGGGGAGGGGATCTATAGAGAATCGGGGGGCTGGTCGTACTGGATCTGCCAACAGCGCGCCAAGCTCTGAGCAGGCCCCTCCTGCAACACGACTCCACAGATTCCCGAAAAATCAATTACCAGGATGGGCTATTAGGCCCTATAACCCCCATAAACAGCCCTATGAAGGCCCTTGTTCAAGGGTTATAGGGTCTAATAGCCCGTCCTGGTATGTAGGCCCTGGAGATTTTTGACCCTTATTGGGTTTAAGATGACCACATTTAGGAATATGTAGGCCCTGGAGATTTTTGACCCTTATTGGGTTTAAGATGACCATAGTTTAGGAATGTGTTTATTGGAGGGTTTTAAGGGGGCCATCCCAGTCCCGGTACAGTCCAGCAAGCCACCCAAACGAAGGAGGGCCCTGAGGGTTTAGGGTTTAGGGTTTAGGGTTTAGGAAGCGCGAGAATTGTTTGTTGGGCAGCATCCATCCCCGCACGCTGCAATGCTGAGGACATGCTGCGGGTGGTCTGACGACCCTCACAACATCACCCTAAACCCTATAAACCCTAAACGGCAAAAAAAAAACCTAAGCCCTAAACGTAAGATGCCGGAACCTGGGTTCTGCTGACTACGACCGAGTCCAGCTACCCATGACATGGTCATGTTAGAATGTACAAAAGCTCAACTAACAGAGGCTGCATGACACATCCTGTTCCTGGAGGGTGAGAGACGCGCCTGAGCATGCCCTCAGCAATTTAAACTGCAAGTTGCTTTGCAACGTGGTTCCTCATGGGGGCCTCCATCTTCTACACACACCGGATGATGCCACAGCTTTCCTAGTCATAGCCCCGTAGCCTAACGATGAGGGCTCTATCCCATCTTGCTCAAGTTGTCGAGGAGAGTGGGGGTGCTCATACCTTTGTCCCCCGAATTCCGGGTGTCAAGGGTTGGTGGAGTTACAGCGCGGGCAGCGCTGCCGAATCGCTGGGCATACGAGGTATACCAGAGACCTGCCAACAATGGCGGCATCAAGCTCAAGCAAAAAAGCTTCCGAAACTCGAGCCTTTTTTTCAGAAGGCGCAAGAGCCTGAATCGTTTTGCCTCTCGATCCTTATAAGCCCTATGCCACTCGCGTACTGCGGAAGCTGCATTCGCCACAGGGCCCTGCGAAGGTACACCCTGCAAGCCGCCCCAGGCATCCCAAACAGTGCTGGTCCTGGTTGCCCGGCCAGGAAGATGACAGTGAACCCCAACCCCCACCCCCTGATGCCGCACCTCGGTTCCTTCCTCGTTTCGCTTGCCAAACTGTGTGGTTCAGATTTGCCTATATAGATAGAAAAGAAGGCAAGGAAGTTGGTTGCGAAAAAGTCGAAGAAGTAATTCCTGAAGGTCTCCGACACAAACAGTATACAAATGTACATACCCTGAGAAGGAAACTCATCATTCAAGCTTATAGTGCCACATCCCTTTAAATCGACAATCCAAGGAGCTGGTGCGTGCAAGCCCGCCTCAAGCACGCCTGGTGTCAAAGGAACTTGCGAGGGGTTGTCAGAGGGCTGTGTAAGCAGCCGGACCGGCTTCTCGGTTTCTTCTGAAGTTTCGGCTGCTGCTGTATGGGAGTTCAGGGTTCAGGGTTCAGGGTTTAGGGTTTAGGGCCTTAGGGTTTAGGGTTTAGGGGATGCTAGGTGGTTAAGATGGGTGAAAATGGGTGTAGGGCGGGGAGTCTTCTCTGGCACACCAGGCCCAATCGATGAGCTTGCCAGCCCGGCATTCCCCCCGCAAGGACACCTACACCTACTAAACCCTAAACCCTAAACCCTAAACTTGAAATCAAGAGGAACAGTAGAGTTAATCGAACTCTACACACTATCACCAGAGATATGGACCTTGCAACCGATGCCTTGCCGGCCGTGTGCGAGTGTGAGAGTCGAAACCCTAAACCCTAAACCCTAAACCCTAAACCCTGATTGCGCAACACACCCGATGGACTCTAAAGTGAGACCACCTGTTGCTTGCAAGATTGCCAGAGAGCGAAAGCCAAGTAAATCTTTGCCCCCAGATGAACTGGGAGGTTCACGGGTGGTAAAAGTGGGGGTACGTATAACAACCTAGAATTATAACTGGTTATCGCCTTGTGCAGGGTACTTAGAACCCTCCTTGTAAGTACCCATGTACCTTCTAACGCTGGAAATAGCCTTATTTAGGGTACTTCTAACTCTGCTTATAACTACCCGTGGACCTTCAAGAAGTACCCAGATCTTCCAAAACCCGTTAATTAAGGTATAGGGTATATTCCTTGATTCAGGGGTTTTGGAAGATCTGGGTAGAAGGACGGTCAAGATCCGCCGCGCTCCATCGCCACCGAGCTGGTCGCCCTGGACGACTTGCTGGAGGCGGCCCGGCTCATTCCATCTGGGACCCGAGCCTGCGGTTTGGTGGGTTTAGGGTTTAGGGTTTAGGGTTTAGGGTTTAGGGTTTAGGGAGCAACCTAGAAGGGCCCAAGGGGTCAGATCATGTCGAGGATTCAAACAAAAGGCTCGCGCGGATGGGTGGTCGGAAGTCCACATCCTGGGGGGGCCCAATGGAGCCTAAAAGGGTGTATGGTTCATGTATACCTTAATAGGAATTGATAGTACTATGTAGGGTATATGATCCTCAATGTTAGGGTTCTGTAGGGTATATGACCTCAATTTTAGGGTTCATTTGGTAGTTCAGGGATGTTGAGCTTTGTGCTTGAGGGTAGCCTCAACTCTGCCATTCCCTGAGCAGAGGTGTGGCCAGACGAAGTAGCTCCTCGGCCAGTTCTGGACACTGCCAAACGGTTTAGGGTTTTGGGTTTTGGGTTTTGGGTTTTGGGGAGCTGCAGCTCCCCGAGTCACAAAAAGGGTTTAGGGTTTTGGGTTTGCTCAAAAAGGGTTTAGGGTTTAGGGTGCCAAGCATAGGGCTCTGGCTGGGCTGCAGGTTGTAAGAAGTTCGTGTGTGGGTTTGTAGCTTGAGCGCAGGGCGAGACCCGGTTTTGCTTGGCTTCAGCCAAGGTGCCTGCCGATGGGGAACTTGTCGATTGGAGCATGGACGGTGCCTCATACTCATATGGCGCTTCACGTGCTGCGACCTCTTTTGCCTGCTTTTGTGCACGTGTCCCCCCCTGAAGTTCGTGCCACACTTAGCGCGAAGCTCCCAAAGCCACAGAGCCTGGCCCCCACCGCCCCCAGAAGGCTTTCTCCAGCTTGAGGCTTTAGACTTCAGAAGGCCTGTCATGAGCCCCATGACCTTTAGCGTGGCGTTTGAGGATGGGGTTTTGGAGTTTTACGACACAGCTTTGCAGGCAGCCTGACTTCGGCAGCTTTTGACGAGTCGCTGCTCACAGGAGAAAGCCGTGTCTGGACAAGCAATAGGGGTCCGGCGCACTCGCACTTCTTTTTCTGAGTACGCAGTGTCCGAGAGTCCAGTGCTTGCTGCTCAATGGCTGATATCCCCTAACATCCCCTAACCCTAAACCCTAAATCCTAAACCCTAAACCCTAAGCCCTAATTAGCAACAAAACAGCGTAATCTAAAACCCCTAATTTGCCCAGTGTCCAGGCCCTAGGCATCCCTAGAAAGAGTGGTATGTAACAAACGACGCCAGGCCCTGTGCCCAAGGCCGCTGGCGACACCCTGACAGGCCTGGAGCCCCATCCACTGTTTAGGGTTTAGGGTTTAGGGTTTAGGGTTTAGGGTTTAGGGTTTAGGGTTTAGGGTTTAGGGTTTAATCATTTAAAACATATGGTCGATTTTCTAAATATTGTGGTCCCTTTCGGGGTTACTATGAGAAGGCGACCCCAAAATGTTAAGGGGAGCCGGGGAGCCGATCAGGGACCTTAGTTTATTGAGAACTGGCCCCCAGGGCTTAGGGTTTAGGGTTTAGGGCTTAGGGTTTAGGGTTTAGGGTTTAGGGTTTACTGCACCCTACATGATGAGGAGAGGGCAAACGAGAGCGCCTGTGGCTCGGGGTGCAAAGACTCAGTATGTTGCCGAAGGGATGCTGGGATGATCCGCATTGACCCTCGGGGTATTATGGAGTACGGCAGGTACATCATTCCCGACATCTACCATGGATGGATAACACATGGGTTTTTCGGCGAGTGAACTCTGTAACTCAAGATGGGAATCAGTTGGCAGGGTTTTCTTGCGCAGCCTCGTTAGCCTGAAGCTGCCAAGGTTGATGGGCAACTCACTAGGAACAAATGGCAGGGTTGTGCAAACCTCAATGGCCCGGATGGTTCTGGGGGCGCGGGTGAACATATTGTCGCCAAACGGGGATGCTTCTGCAAGTAAACGCACAGCGACGGACAGTATCCATTGCTGAAAACTGCACGTAAATCCACTGAAGCCTACTAAACCATCATGAAATCTCACCGTTGCTCACAACTTCCACACGGTCGTCACACCAGGATGGGCTATTATACCCTGATTATCCCTTAAAAGGTTCTTTACAGGGTTCATGATGGGGATTACAAGGCCTACTCGCCCATCCTGGCAGGTGGCAGCCGGTTGGTCACCGGACGTGCTGTGCGCCTCCGTGCCAAGCGGGTTGGTAGCGGGGCGGCATTGCAGCAAATCGTGGCCCCTTGGTCCGCGCTCAGCTGCCAGTGATTGTGTGAAAGAAGGTTGTCTATGCTGTCCAACCTTTGCGCCAACCCCACGTTAAAGGATGAAATATACCATGGCTACCAAAGGAGCCAAGAAATGTGCACGATCTGCATCTGCCTGCGCACATTGCCCCACAAGCACCAGTCGTTGAGTCACCAATTTGCCCTCAACAGGTGCTCAGCTGTGGAGCCCAGCTGTAAACCCTAAAACCTATGTCGTGCGAGCGAACATAAGCGGAAGCTGAAACCTTCCAGCTCCCCAAAGAGCCCAATACTCCTTAATTAATTAATATACCTTAAATCATATTAAGGATCCCTATATAGATTATTAAGGCCTATTCCTTAATTAAGGGGTATTGGGCTCTTTGGGTCCCCAGTCCCTCGTGGAGCGCGCCGCCGCCTCCGCCGGGGCGGCCCCTGCACAGCGCTTGGCTGATGCAGCCGCACGCCACTTTGGCCAACAGCCTTCTTTTGCCTGCGCAGTAGCTGCATGTAGTTATATGTTCGCGACTTGGGCTTTGAGTAAGGGCTTGGTGCAGGCTTGGGGGAATTCAGGACTTGAGGCTTCGAGCATATTGAGAGATGGTCTTGCCAGATCCGGGTTGGAAGTGGCTTGTGCTTGCTTGGCTGTGCCTGCATGTAGTCCCAAGCACATCTTTGAATGTACGTGTTTGGCTGAAAATGCATCTCATTAGATACGGCTTGCTGCGCGCACTTTACTCAGATAAACTTCTAATGGAAACATTCTGAGCCATGTTCTGGAATTCTTAAGACCGTCTTTTGGTGACACCATTCCTGCCTGCGGGTCTTCGTCACTCAGCCAGAGGCGTTCAAAGCAACGCCCCTGCCCTGTCATCATGCAACATGCTCCGGCAAGTTCAGCCTAGACTCTGTGCGCTTTAGTTATTTGGTGGTTGCCAGGATGGGCTATTCGGCCCCATAATCCCCAAAATCAACCCTATAAGGGGCCTTTTTATGGGGTTTTAGGGTAGCATAGCCCGTCCTGGTGCATTTTCTTAAGAAGTCCTTCGCGAAGATCTTGACTTCGACCCCGCAGTCCCCCATGCATGGCTTTGCCCGATGACGCGGGCTTCGGCGCCGGTCTTGCGCCCAAGCTGCGGCGGCCGCAGCGCAACGCGCGCGCAGGCGGGCTTAGGGAGGCCACATGCCCCAGAGACTCCAAAAACCCCTGAATTAAGGAATCTACCTTAAATCATATTAGGGTTCCTATTCTAATTTGAGGTATATGCCTTAATTAAGGAATATACCTTAAATCATATTAGGGTTCCTAGTATCATTTCAGGTCTATTCCTCACTTAAAAGGGTTTTGGAGTCTCGGGGTGGCCTTGACAAACTTGCAAGGCTGGATTGTTGCAGGATCACAGGAGAAGCCTCATTGGGGGGCCGGGCTTCAGGTGTGTGTTCGAGGGTTCATGGTTCAGAGCCTATACTGTGAACCCAGACCTTCCAAAACCCCTTAATTAAGGTATATACTCTAATTCATAATAAGGACCCTTAGTATAAATTAGGGTATATTCCTTAATTAAGGGGTTTTGGAAGATCTGGGAAAGTATAGCAAGCACACTTGTACTACCCAGAGACTCCAAGAACACTTTTAAAAATGGAAGATGCCTCAAATTGTAAAAAAGGAACCCTAAATATGATTTAAGGTATATTCCTTAGTTAAGGGGTTTTGGAGTGTCTGGGTTTGTAGGCTTTCTGGATCCAGATGTCCAGAGATTTTGGGAAGTGCATGCGCAGAGTCCGGGCTCTGGAGTTCAGAAACATTAAGAAGGCTTGTCGGCTTGTACCATAAGCGCTGGAAAGGCTTCCTGGAATGGGGGCTCCCTCTCCTAACCTAGGTCCACCTCCTCACCCTGCTCTTCCGACATGTCGAAATTTGTGGATTTCTTTCTCCTTGGCTTTTGCTTTTTTGGGTGTGGGCGGGGCGCCAGAAGGGGAGAGATGTAAGAGGGATGCATGAAACGAAGGGCTGAGACTCAAGCCCTGGAAAGAAGGCTCGGAAAGAAGAGAAGGAGGCTACTAAAGGTGCCGGGATAATTACTAATTAATTGTATTCCCTTGTGGTCCCTATGTACTCATATACTATAAGAACCCCCCCCAAAACCCTATTCTACTGACCGGCAAAGTTGTTCGCCTCCTCGTGCGTGTTGCAGTGCAGGGCCTGACGTGGCAAGCTTCGCCCCCCCTCTTGAAGCCCTCTGAGAACAGGACCTTGAAGCTAAAATCTCCTAGGGTTTAGGGTTTAGGGTTTAGGGTTTAGGGTTTAGGGTTTAGGGTTTAGGGTTTAGGGTTTAGGGTCTAGGGTTTAGGGTTTAGGGTTCAGGGTCTCCCTTCCCGAGACGACAAGAACAACATCTACCTCGTTGGCCACGCGGCCTTTGGCCAGGGACTCACGCAGCTTGAGCCTCTGCCAGCAAGCCCTAGGGTTTAGGGTTTAGGGTTTAGGGTTTAGGGTTTGGGGTTTAGGGTTTAGGGTTTAGGGCTTAGGGCCCTGCACATTGGTGTTTGAGTTGGTGTTGTGGCCATATCCCTCTTGGGAATTATTGTTTATTGTTGATCATCAAAAACCCAAAGGGGATATCAAACACTTGTTTTTAAGGTGCTAAGGGGAGTATAGGTGCCATGATGGAGGATGTAGACACTGCTCCGTTTTCCCACTGCCGGCACTCTACTTATCGCATGCAGGGGATGCCATTTCCGGCATTCTGACAGAACAGGTTTTTATTGCTGGAGGCTCATGACGGTCTCGTGCAACCGCGTGTGGTGATGTGATCGTTTGCTGTCTGACACATTCCATCGAAAAAAGTTCCGAATCCTAAAAGAGGCATCTGAAAGTATTTCTTTAGGTCTCCTGACTCCTGCCCTAGGCCCTAGCCCTAAGACGAGCCTAAGCCTAAGACTCAGGAGTGCTACGAGTTCGAGGACTCGCAAAAACCGCGAATTCTGAGTGAGGGGGCACGGGAGCGATATTTCATCTGCGCATGTGTCTTTTCAAAGCTTTTAATACCCGAAACCCTTAAACACTTTAACCCTTAGACCCTTAAACCCTTGAACCCTTAAGCCCTTAAACCCTTAAACCCTTAGACCCTTAAACCCTTAGACCCTTAAACCCTAAACCCTCAGCCCTCAAAGCGCAGCAGTGAAGACTTCTTTCGCAGTGGAGCTTCGAGCAGAGCTTGGAACCCTCTCAGCGAGGACGCCGCCACGTCACTGGAGGCTGCATGGGCTGTCTGGAAGGATCGAGTGATCTCTTGCACTGTTACTAATTACTAATTAGTAATTACTAATTACTAATTACGAATTACGAATTACTAATTACCAATTATTATTACTATTTCTATGACAAGGACTATTCCTAATGACTATTTCTATTTCTACTACTATTATCATTACTATTATTACTATTCGTATTATCATTATTGTTATTGTTATTATTATCATTACGAATACCAATACGATTATGGGGCCCACATGAACCCTAAAAGGGTTTATGGTCCATAATTCCTTAATAGGAATTCGAGTAGTAGAGGGTATATAACCCTCATTTTAGGGTTCATCTCGTCCCAAGGTGCATGATTTTACATTTTTGTACGGAGAGTCCGAAAGCTTCCGAGAAAGCTCCAGACCCTGTGGGTTTAGGGTTTAGGGTGCTGGCTCGACTGGGCATGTCTTAGATAAGTTGGATTTTCGAAGTAGCAGAAAGCCCCTTCAAAACCCGTAGACTTTGTCATTGTAGGGGGTAGCCGGGTAACATTTTACATTTTTAAGGGTACTTAGACTCAATAAAGACTATACATATATATATATATAATGTAAATTTTCCATACTATCCCAATCATGAACTAGTTGGCTGAGACATGCCGGGTGAAGCTGTGCCAAGCCTCTGGGATGCATTGACATGCGAGGACGTCTTCCTCGGAGCACCGACCAAGCCGCCCCTGGACTGGTTTAGGGTTTAGGGTTCAGAGTTCAGAGTTTAGGGTTTAAGGCCTCAGGACAAACCTGCTGGTATATTAGGCGTTAGGCGTCTCAGGAGTTGCAAGATCTCCCCACCTGTCACTGGTTGCGCAGGTGCCCATGTGCAAGTTTGTATCGTCTTGTCGATGTAGGCTGGGCTTCGGCTGCTGAGGATGGCATAGGACCGCTTAGCCTAAGAGTCCATGTCACAGGACGGCCTATAGACCACCTGCACCCAGCTAGCTGGCAAGAAACAGCCCCTGACCCAGGATGCCCATCAATGCCGCAAGTTCAGACGAAGAGGATGAAGAGGAGCATGCGGCCAGAGACCCTGGCATTGCCGTGGGAACCATATGAGCCCTAAAATTGGGGGTCATATATACCCTATGCTACTAGAATCCTTATTTGGGCACATGAGCCATGAACCCTTTTGTGACCATATACCCTATGCTACTATAACCCTTATTAGATTACATGAACCATAAACCTTTTTAGGGTTCATTTTGTCGGCAAGGTTGCTGTGAACAGCGAAACATGTCAAGGGTGGGCTTGCGCGCTTGCGCTCTCCTGCGCTTGGTCGCGCTGCACTTGCTTCGCTGTCATGTGCGCGCTAAATGTTTCCAAGCTGGTGGGAGCTGATTTGGGCATCCAGCAACGACATGGCCTCTTGATATACTGCTGTAGTCATGGCAGGTTTCTTCAAATTGCTCTAGTACCCGAAGCCCTGAGCCCTCAACCCTAAACCCTAAACCTCAACCCTAAACCCTAAACCCTAAACCCTCAGCTCAAAAGCTTCACTCCTGGATTGGAAGCTGCAGCGCGGCGCAGGAGTCCGAGTCTCGCAGTGGGTCAGACTCGGAGGCGGACGTTTGAAACATTTAGGGTTTAGGGTTTAGGGTTTAGGGTTCCTGACCATTACCGGCCGACTCCCCAAGCCCGGATGCAAAAGGGTTTAGGGTTCACTGTGAGCTCATGCACTCAAAGCTTGCTTGCCCCGCTTCAAGTGCACAGGACCGTAAGCTCCGCACACTGCCAGCTGACGGACAAGGTTGAATCCCGAACCCCTCCTTGAACCCTAAACCCTCAACCCCAAGAATATGCCTAAACCCTCAACCCTAAACCCTAAATACAGGGAAATCCCTAAACCCTAAACCCGAAAAACAGGAATATCCCTAAACCCTAAACCATAAATTTACAGGAATATCCCTAAACCCTAAACCCTACACCCTAAATTTACAGGAATATCCCTAAACCCTAAACCCTAAACCACTCCCCCAACTCGCGCAGACCGACTCCAGCTCCGATCGCCTTCCCGAGCGCCCGCGCCGCATTGGCGCCAACGAGGCTTTGTAGGGTTTAGGGTTTAGGGTTTAGGGTTTAGGGTTTAGGGTTTAGGGTTTAGGAAGGTTCCCTAGGTACCTACCCTTCTTGAACGCCCCCTCCCTTAAGAACCCGATAGAGGCTGCCGCAAAGGCGTTCTTCAAGGCGAAGAGTTGCGGCAACCAAGGCTGGGGGGTTAGGGTTTGTAGGGTTTAGGGTTTAGGTTTTAGGGTTTAGGGTTTAGGGTTTAGGGTTTGAGGAGACCTGCTGCAAGCCTGGATGCAAAAGGAGACCTGCTGCAAAAAGGGGTCTAGGAATCGTAGGGGTTTTGGATTTAGGTTTTAGGAGCTTGGCTGAACAACAGGGTTTAGGCGAAGCCTTGTCCGTGCGTCACACGTCCGGAGCTACAGCCGCAGCATTTGCCATGAACGATCACCTTGCGGACACATGAACCCTGAAAGGGTTTAGGGTTGAGGGTTGAGGGTTTAGGGTTTAGGGATATACCTGAATAGGAATTATAGTAGTATACCATTTTAGGGCTCATTTTGTCCCCAAGGCAGGAATAAATCTGGACCAGAACCCGCTATCGCGTAGGTTCGCACAGCCCTTCATTGCGAGTGCCCTCCACATGTGTCTTTCACACTTCGCACAAATCCTGCTGGTTGAGAGTCCAAACACAATGTCTTGGGGCAAAAGTGGCTTGCATAGGCTTGCAGTTGATGAGGCCTATGACGCAGCTCCGAAATACTGTGTGCTTGACCCACGGGGTCTCGCATTGGCAAAAGAGGCATCTCCACACACGCACACACACACACACACCCTGACAAATGCGTGTAGAATTTGCCGCATGCTGTCACTTCTGTCTCGGACGGCTGGAAGTTCGAAGTCCTTCCAAGGAAGCCGAGTTGATGTCGCTTCTTGGGCCTGTAGGTATGGGGTTTGTCACCTCGGAGGGGCACAATAGCAGTCCCGGCATGCCTTGGGGACGACATGAACCCTAAAATTGGTGGCTTATGTTCCCTATACTACTACAATTCTCCCATGAAGTTATGTAGACCCTAAACCCCGGGTTCATGTGGGCTCATGTCCAGTAAGTTTGCTTTGCAAACGTTTTACCTCCAAAACGCAGAACCACGGTAGGCCCTTGGGACATTTTATATGTTCCCTTGTTTGGGGTTTAAGAGGATAATATTCAGGAACATTTACATTTTTCAGAGGGTTTGTTAAGGGCCATCCCCCACAATCACCCGAAGACTTGCAAGGCGCAGGCGTCGGCGCCACTTTTGCCCCTGGCTTGGGCAAGACATCTTCCGCCTCAGGCGCCGGGCATCGCTTGTAGATTTGAGTTGCCTAAACCCTAATCCCTAAACCCTAAACCCTGAATAAACCCTAAACCCTAAAAGGACCTAGGGGACCTATTGGACCCTAAAAAGGGTTTATGGCTCATATACCCTAATTAATCTGAGTTATAGTTGACTGGGGCATATGACCCCAAATTTTGGGGAGGATCAGGCATGAAAGATAACACGCAGTCTACGATGTGGCCCAGTATGCCAGTGACATTTGTGTCCCCTAAACCCTAAACCCTAAACCCTAAACCCTAAACCCTAAACCTGCTCTTCAGAACAGTGACGCGATGGCATCGCGTTCCCCTTGAAGACTTCCGTTTCGTGGAATTTCCAGCACCGACACCGCTGCTGCTGGTAACCTTGGGGACCGCATGAACCCCAAAACAGTTTATGGTCCATATACCTTGAAGCCTTCTAACAAAAGCGCTATTGCAGCATGTTCCTGTAGCGAAACATTCGAGTCTATAGCCGGCAGCTTCAAGACAGGTTCAGAGAGCGGCGCCCGGCCGCGTAGGCGGCGGCTCCCGCGGGGCTTTGCGGACGACGGCGAGTCTCCGCCGCCCCCACCCGATCAGGTGCGCACAGGGAGCGGGCTTGGGAGGCTCCGGCTTGTTGGGCCACAGTTTACTGTTGGTTAAGTAGGGAATGAGGGAATGAGGTACCCTATGTAATCTAAACCCTAAACCCTAAACCCTGAAGGGTTGTTTAAACAAAAACCTGAACCCTAATAAAATCCCTTAAAGGGTATATTGTAGGGGGATGTACTAGCAGGGTAATTACCTCATTCCCTCATTCCCTACCAAGCAACAGTAAGCACAGCTTCCACAGCTTCACACAAGTTCTCAGGCTGCGGAGTCTTCCTTTCACGCAAATGGGGTCTTTGGTTTAGGGTTTAGGGTTTAGGGTTTAGGGTTTAGGGTTTAGGGTTTAGGGCGGCCTCATGGCGACCAGGGTAGGAGGCTGTACCTTAAGCAGGATTGATAGGAACATGGGGTCGATGTATTGGGCTGCATGAAACTAAGCTTCGGAACATTGTGCGGACGCTTTCTTTCAGCTGGCTAGGCTCAGTGTGCGGAACTTGCAGCGAACCGACATTGTGAGTTTGGGCGCTGATGTTCACAAGGGGGGAGAAGTTTCCGGTACCCTGAGTCGTTGAGTTGAAGGGCCTTATCGATTCCGAAAGCAGGCATGGGCATGCGATGCCAAAGAAGGCGTGATTGCTTCAGCTCGTAAAGCATCTCTGCGGGCCAGAACAACAAACGACAACCCTTCCGGCCGCTGCCCCCCAAGCTTGGGCCCCAAACCCCCATGGGGGTTTCCGAAAATAAGGGTACCCTTTTTGGGGGGCCCCTTTGAGGAGATTCTATTCTATTTGGGGTATAAAAAGGGGTACCCCTATTTTTTGAAACACCCACATCCGTGAAGCAGAATCCTGATACATTGCTACCAGTTTGAGCCCGAAGCCATGTGACAAAACTGGAACCTTGCGACGAGGACGATCGTTTGGGGGTCTGGCCACCACCTCCCACAGTCGACATTTTTGCTGAGGCTCTGACAGATGCTGCTGGGCAGGATGGCTTTCTGGATCATCCTACGTAGTCCTTCGCGCTGTTGCACAGGTTTCGTGACTTTGTCGATGGCCAAAGGGGCCTCGTGTGCTTCTCGAGACTCTAAGTGCAGGATGGCGCCCCACAGCAAAGCTGAATATCAGGGTCGAGGGGAATTCGAAGCCACTTCTTAGAAGCTTCAATCTGCTTCTCCATAACGCTTTTTTGACGTCGAAGCCCGAACCATGAATACCTTAAGCGCCTCACCCTCGGCAGTACCTTCCAAACCCCCTGAGCCACAAATCGCATACTCTTGGTTCAGCTAAGGCCTTGGTGCTGCGAGTAACAAGGGCCACGGAGGAGGAGACTCCTTGCATCATGTCGGCTTTGGCCTCCGGGTTCAAAAGTTTAGGGTTTAGGGTTTAGGGTTTAAGGTTTAGGGTTTAGGGTTTCAAAACTGGCTGGGTCCAGCGTGCAGGCTTCGACTTTCAGGGGGGTCGCCCATTCATCGTGGGCTTGTGAAGCTGGGGAACAAGAACTTCTTTGCTGAATGAGTACACTTTATACTTGTTGGGATACTATAATCCCTGTAGAACTGAAAGTGTACATGTTTTTTTTTTTTTTTTGGGGGGGGGGGGGGGGGAGGGACTTCTGAACTCAGCAACTAAGAGAACGAGAATCGATTCCGAGGAGGCGCTGTCTTGTGCCCTGGAGGCACAGGGGGAGCTGATGGCCACTGCAGGTGGGAACTGGTCAGGGTTTGGGCTTTGGGCTTTGGGCTTTAGGGTTTAAGGTCAAGGTTTGGGGTTTGCTGTCACGAAGAAAAGGGTGGCAGGAATGTGGGGGCTAGAGGAGGCTAAACTGGCCGCTGTAGCCACATGACGTAAGGACTCGCGTGGGATCGTTAGAAAAAAGGATGCATGCTTCAAGCTGCACAAATGCGAATGATGCGCATGTTGTAGTTGTTTATTTCACGGAAGGGTAGGCTTGAAGTGAGTTATAGGATGAACGCTTGTGAGTTTAGAACGTCACCTCAGGGTTTACAGTGTTCAAGCCTTGAAAGGCTCCTTGAGTGTCAGAGATCTGCGTTTAATGTTTAGAAATGTTTGAACCCTAAACCCTAAACCCTAAACCCTAAACCCCCCTGAACCCTAAACGGAAGGTTCCTGAGCTTACAGGACAGGACTCGGATTCTGACGACGACGATGATGACGATGAAAGCGAGGCTGAGGCGGGCTCAGGGACCCTGAGCCCTAAACCCTAAACCCTAAACCCTAAACCAGGCAGTCTCGCAATTCATCCAGCGTACTCGAAGTCTGAAGTTGGCGCAGGGAGCCTGTTTAATGAGTTGAGTCGTTGGGATCTCGGTCAAGTTCCAAACCTTTGCACCTGGAAACCTCCTAAACCCTATCTCTAAACCCTAAACCCTAAACCCTAAAAACCCTAATGCCAGGATGGGCTGTGATACCCTTTTATCCCTTATAAGGCCATTTATAGGCCTTTTTATGGGGATTAATAAGGCCTAATAGTTTAGCCTGGTAACCCTGGGAGCCAAACCAAGTCTCGTATGGATGCGTTTGATATCCCCCTTGGGAACTTTTGTTTGTGTATATACAACCCAAGAGGATATCAAACATATTATGTTTATTGAGGTTCTAAGGGGAGTATAGGCTTGTCCGAGTTGGTATGTGACTTTGCAAGCCCCAACGCCTCTCTAAACATCCCGAATTCCCAGCCTCAATGTTCAAAACCCTGTCGCGGTTTTCAGACTCTTAGACATTGAGGGCTGAAAAGGGACCCGGCTGGGGGATTCGAAGCAACAGCTGTAGGCAACTTGCGAGGGAATAGAGCTATGCAAGCTATACACAATGGGCTCAGGAGACACTTCCAAAACGCTGTGCCGAATGCTCAGTCCCAATTCTTCTGCGTGCGAGGAGCTCAGCACAGCTGCCTACAACCGGCGGGCCTACAGGGCCGACGTGCCTCGCTTGGAGTTTATGATCTTGGAAGGGCAGGGCCTCGGACACCTACGGTTCTCAACATTGCACGCTCCAGAACCTTGGCCTTGCGTTCCATGCGTTGGGCGCAGTTGCTTGGCCAAAGATGCAAGTTTTGTGCGCAGAAGACTGTGCAGCTCAAAGCGGGCCAGGGAGTCAATGCAGCCCCCCCAATGGCAACGAAATCAGAGGAAGTCTTTTTGTGGGATTACGAAAATAGGGGACCTCTAAAATAGACCCCCAAATAGTAGGACCTCAGTAAGGTACCCCGAATATCGTAACATGCGCAGCCTTGAGAGCAATCCAAAAGGCCCTCGCAAGCCATGCAACATGCAGCCTTCAAGTCTTGAATCCTGCAACTTGCTCTTCCCTCCGGGGTCCTCACACAAGTCTTTATTCAGGTCTCAGGCCTCAGTCTTCAGGCTAGGGTTTAGTGTTTAGGGGTTACTTGTAGGGCTTAGGGCTTAGGGCGTAGGACTTAGGGCTTAGGGCTTAGGGCTTCGGGCCATGAATCTAAAGCTTCCTCGGAGTGCTTTTAAAGCGATGGTAACATGCTGAGGTGAAGCTCATGGGCCAAAGGGAGCCCTCCGATGGCGCCCAGGCCCTCAAAAGCTCGCCCAGCAAGGACATCCGTCTGGCTAAGATCCGTGCGGGAGAGGAGGGTTTAGGGTTTAGGGTTTGGGGTTTGGGGTTTGGGGTTTGGGGAGGGAGCATGGAGATTGGCTAAGAAACTGTTTCACGTGGCTTCTTCTTGCCTAGAGCCTCAATCCCCAACCCATTCTCCCAACACCAGCTGGTCCCACGCGCATCCGTGGTGTGTCGAAAGCTCCTGGGCGTGGCTGCGTGGCTCTTGTGTAGCAGCCCAGCGAGAGATGCAGCTGCGTGAGAAGATCTAATTCTGCTGCAATGAGTCGGACTATTGCTGTCTTTCTGCCGCTGCTGCCATTGGTTTCTGCTCCACCACCACTCACTGCGGTCACTGCCCCATGTTGCAGGGTCTAAAAACAGTATCGGCAATGAGCTGGAAGTTTACGCCCTTGAGCACCTAGTGATGGGGTTTGGCCTTTTGGAGTTAAACTATTGATGTTGTAAATCGCTGAGCTGCGAGCGGGTGAAGCTCCTAAGTTGAACAGCAATTGGACTCTGCTGCTGTGCAAGGCCCACAAAATCGCAACCCTTCCGTGAGAGCCCGTGATAGTGTTGCCGCAGATGTTAAAAAAGCCCTAACACCCCCCCCAAACCTTGCCCCTGACCCTTTACATGCTCTCGAGATGGAATGGGTTCCTTACAGTGGCGACCTGGCCCTGCAGAACAGCCCTGTAGGATCCAACGCTGCAAGACAGCTCCGGCGCGAAACCTCAGCCCCTGGGACACAGAGCAGTTGAGCATGGCGATACAGGATTGGCGTGAGGGCGGGCAGTGGCTTGTAACCACAAAAACGCCCTGCAATGAAACACCCAATCAGGGCTGGTGAAGATACAAGCATGATCCATCAGGGAAGATACAGACTTCAGCCAAAGGCCGGAAGGTTAAGGAAGGCTCACCGGGCTTAGGGTTGCTTGGGAACTTGTCCCCATCGCTTATTTACAGGGTGTTTGGCCTTTGGCTGACAGCAGCTCAGCCTGACGGATGAACCTTGATCTGCCTGGTGTTCAGAGTCCAGATGCAAAAAAGGGTTAGTCTTAGTGATACCGGGGAATGATTTTGATTTTTTGGGCAGTAGAATTCCTAACAAGTATGATTTTTGCTAGGGTTCCAAGTTCAGTTATAAGTGGTTGGGAACTGCACTGCATGGTACAGGCCACCCCAGAGTCAATTTAGGGCAATACCGTATCACGGACACACATTCAGATTTGCTTGCTCCTCGCAACATCTGTAGCAGGCTCTGCAGTGGAGTTCCTCAACCGAATGTCTACCAATGACTTCAGGCTACAATGGGGTTTGTGCCGGTATGGCTCGCGATCTCCCAGAATGTACTCAGGAAGGTTTGTGAGAGGCGGGTTCAGTGATGTGGGTGTTTCCAGAAATTAGGGGGTACCTTTTTGGGGGTCCTGTTTATCATGGGATCTTACTATTTGGGAGTCAAAATGGCGGGCTGTCAAAATCATGATCCCTTTTGGGGTACCCTAAGAATTAGGTGCCGTGTTTTTACTAGGGATCCAAAAAGGGACCCACTTTTTTGACAGCCACCCATATGAGGGTCCCCGTAAGCCCCCATATACTCCCCTTGCCCAGCTTCACAAGATCGCCAAAAGCTCACTTGGAGGTTCATGGTACTTATTAACCAATTATAACTCTACTTATAGCCCGCTCGAAGCCCCTTATGTGCCCTACTATGGTCATAAGTACAGTACAGTTATCATTGGTTAATAAGTACCATGAGCCTCCAAGTAACTCAGGTTCCACCACTACCGCCGCTTGATGCGGGGCCTTTGCCACTGTTACGTGCGGCTCAGGCAGGATTTGTGTTTTGCATCTTTGCTGGATTGTGGTTCAGAGTTTAGAGTTTATAGAGTTTAGGCTTTAGGGCTTAGGGTTTAGGGTGCAGCGTTGCTGCTCACATGGCGCCACAGAGGCCTGGTGTTCAGGCTGGTTTCAATCCACTCTCCCAATCTTCTTGTTCAGGGCCTTGTGTTCAAGCTTGCTCCCAAGGGGGGCCCATGAGGTCTTGCTGCAAATCTTCTGGTTTAGGGCGAATTTCGGTATCATTCGCAGCTGCTGGAGACTGCAGCTCCATAAGCCTGTTGGTCACGCACCTTTGCTTTCAGAAGAAGGGCTTTGGGGTTTAGGGTTTAGGGCTTAGGGTTTAGGGTTTAGGGGTTGAGATTCCAACGCAGAGTTGGGTTCTTGAACTTGTGGCGAGCGTCAGTGCAAACACTTTCCCATCACACGCCTCGGCCTCAGCTTGAAGCAACCTAAAGCCTCCACCTTCAAACATCTTTTGGGGCGGTCAGGCATCAGAACACCCCACCACCACCACAAATCGCAGCAGCACGTAGGCGCTGGGTCGATCTGGACCGTTTCATCGAGGAGGCGCTGCCCTACTTCCAGGAAGTTCGGTGTCTCGTCTTACACGTGAACCAGGATGGGCCATCATCCCCCATGACCCCGTCAAAAGGCCCTTTTTTTCGGGTTGATTCTGGGGTTCCAAGGCCGCATAGCCCATCCTGGAACAGGGCTTGAGTGTCGCAGGGTTTGGGGCGCGTGGAGGGGTTTAGGGTTTAGGGTTTAGGGTATAGGGTTTAGGGTTTAGGGTTTAGGGTTTAGGGTTTAGGCACCGAGGCCTGATCTTGCGGTTTCTAGTCTAAGGTGTGCCGTTGGCGAAACACCTCCAAAGGTGGTTGAAGCCTGGGTTGGTATACTCGTTGCTATTGCAAACTTTCAGGGGAAGCTCGGTGTGTGTGTGTGTGTGTGTGTCCGTGATGTTCCTCTGGTCTGTTGTTTCTTTTGGATAGGGATCAAAGGAGGACCAACAAAAATCAAAGTCATTGAAGGAAGATGTAGGAAGGAAGGATTTGAGGCTTGTAAATCGGAATTTACCGTATGTGCAGCTTGCTGAATATGCTGCAGTTGGAGCTGATGAATCGGCAGAAATGCCGTAATTTACTGCATTTGCAGCCTGCGAAGAGGCACACAAATGCTGTAATTTTACGGAGCAGAAAGGCAATTTGTTGAACCTTTGACAGGCTCCAAGATGCTCCGAGCACCGCAAATGAACCCAACAGCCAGCAAGAGTTCCGTTTCGTTCCGTTCCTTCCGTTCCAAAGAGGTCCCGTTCCGGTGCCTCTCCCTCTTACCCGTTCCGTTCCCTTTTGGGCTCCGAGATCTCATTTCGCGCTCCTATTGGGCTTGTTGGGAATCACAGAATTTCTGCGTATAGAACTGCGGTAGTTTACGGTGCTTGGAGAATATAGAAAAAGGTACGGATACTATTCGCAGTGTTTGGAGCCTTGCGAACCAAGTCTGTATAGGGCCAGGGCTCTTGGTTTTTTATTCTGTATCTGCTGTTCTTTGATCACTGGACTTTGATTTTGCTTGATGACCTGATTCATATTTGATGTTTCTGATCCCACAGACCCCAGATCAAGATCAAAGGAAAGAGCAGCAGACGCGAGCTCGTTTGAGCACGAAGACTGAGCTCCAAAACGGCTTTAGTGCTGGAAAGCTTCAAACTTAGCACTTCCCTTTGCACTTCCCTGCATCTTGTCCCAAAGACCTACACCATATGGGGGTTTCGAAAGTAGGGGTGTCCTTTCTTTTTTTTTTTTTTTTTGGGGGGGGGGGGGGGGGGTTCCTACAATAAGGGTTATACTATTTGGGGATGTTCAGGGCACCCCTAAATATTGTGGGAACCCGAACCCTAAACCCTAAACGCTAAGCCCTAAACCCTGAACCCTAAACCCTAAACCCAACAGGATAGGCAGGAGACCGGCAGCAACCGAAGCTGAGGAGCCTTCAGAAAAAGAAGATCCCGCAGTTCCGCACCAAAGACCGGGAGGAGCAAAGGTTGATAAAGGGGTTTAGGGTTTAGGGTTTAGGGCCTGACTGAAGAGTTGAGGGTGTGTGGCGTCTAAGGATTGTGGGGTGACCGAGATGGGAGTTCCGATCGTCTTAGAGGGAGACTTTTGGCTTTCAAGGCCCTTCTAGGACGTGAGCCTAGCAGTCCTCCAGACTATAGGGGTCGGAAGAATTAGTTTTTGGTATTCCCTCATGGTCCCTGCTGCCAGTGGTGCAGAGTTAATGAATGGTGATGCTTGGCGGGACTTAGGGCGGTCAGCCAGTTGAAGATCCGTGCGAAAAGGCAAAACTGCAAGATGGCGGAGTTGGCGGTTTAGGACGTTAAAGGGCATTTGGCTCAGAAAGTTTGATTGAGTACTGCTTCCTTCGGCCTGTGGCATGAAATCGTGGACTGATTCGCTCTGCCCAAGGGGATGTTCAACGCATGAAGAAGTTGACGATTCCAAATAGGGAGTTCATCACACTTTTGTAGAGCGTGATGAGTTGTAAACGACCCTAAACCCTAAACCCCAAACCCGTGGAAAGCCTGGGTCGGAGGAGCTTTGGATCACCCTTCAGATGCAGCGGGCCGCGGCGTGCATTCTGATTGGCATCCCGACAGGGCTGGGGGAATTAAATCTTAGGGTTGAAGGGTTTAGGGTTTCGGGTTTAGGGTTCAGGGTTCAGGGTTTGGTGCAGGAAGGCTCTATAGGATTTAAGTCTAGACACGCTTAGCTTACGAGGCTTGCCAGATGGATGCATCCTGAGTGATTATAGGCTCTGTGTGTTTTTTGCCCCTTAGTAGGATTCAACCTCGTTTGCATGTCGCGCCTAGACTCTTGGCGGACCGACTGCTGAAAACATCCCTGGCGAACCTCCACGCACTGGCTGAGGCAGAGATCACTACGAGAAAGCCGACAAGCCGGGCCGCCCAGACCCACGTCCAAGAGAGAAACAGAGGAGCAGGGGAAGAGGGGAAAGGGGAACCCTGGACCCTTGCTGAATGAAAGGAAGAATGAAAGAAAGGAAGAACGAAAGGACGAAGAGAGAAAGAGAGAAAGTCCCCTTCCTCCTAAACGCAATCCAGTGCCTCTTCCTTCACCAACGGGGGAAAGGCATCTGAGCCATGGCCAGCAGTACCTGACCTCGACGTTCGAGCCTTTGGGCAGCCTTTTTGAAAATGGCAACGCAAGAGCCTCGGCCCCCAGGCACCAGCCGGAAACCTCAGAGACCTCTCAAACCTCAAGACCTCAAGACCCTGAACGGGAGGGCGAACTCGATCATACAGTACGTCCAGACTAGTTCCAGACTGGGTCAGGGAGAGCGTGACCTGGGCATCCCCGTTGCAGGCTTACTGCACACCAAGTGCAGCTTCACAGGTGCAATTATGTTCTTCAGGGCCGACTCGGCAGTTCTTTACATCTTCCCGCAGAAGGATTCGACAGAAGCTCGCCACCCTCGCCAATACAGCGATGCTTCGTTCAGACTGCGAGCCGTGGGCATGCCTGGCATGCGGGCGGGCTGGGGTTTTGGCTCCAGCCTTGCGCGCGGAAGGCAGTCGTGCCCTTCATGCCCGGCAGAAGAAGAAGCAGAAGAAGAAGAAGAAGAAGAATAAAAGGAGAAGAGAGAGAGAGAGAGAGACAGCTTTCTTGGAGGTGATCGAGGCTTAGGACGGTCTGGGTTTTTGTGGCCAGCTCCGCATCGGGTTATGCGCCGCAGTGTGTTGAACTGGTATGTTGCCTCAAGAGGTGTCATGCTTGAGGGTTGCCCGTCGCAGCATCTTGTGTTCGTTCCTTCCCAGCCTGTGAATCCACACGTCAACCTTGTCGAATTCGTGTTGAAGCTCCTAAGCCCTGCACCCTCCAAGGACCATGTAGTTTCTTGCGATCTGAGTGACCTAACTGGGCAAGATGGCAAGACATGGCAAGACAAGCTTGAGATGGGACAGCTGCCCCAGGTTCCTCACGAACGTACGGCGGGTGCAGCCGAAAGACCGCGTGCTGCAACGCACCATTGACAGCCGCTCGCTTCCAGTGATCTGTACCTTCGGGACGAAATGAACCCCAAAATGGGGGGGTTTATAGACCCTATGCAACTGTAATTCCTATTAAGGTATGTGGACCAGAAACCCTTTTAGGGTTCATGTGGTTCCCAAGGTAAAAAGAGATTGTTGTTATTGCATGGGTGAGGAGGGCCAGGGGTTCAGATGAGAGTGGGAATCCTTTAGTTGGAACGAATTTCGGGGGTAATCCGGCAGTCGGGTTTCTTATGAGTACAGTAAATTCCAGAAAAAGCAACATGGTTTGAGGATGATTAGAGCTGGGGGATTCCCTTTAGTATATCTTTTGGGACAAAGGGAAAAGGATGTTCCAACCTTGTTGGAGTCTACTGTACCTGGCCTTCAGGTCCCGGCCACTCACGAGCGGATGATTAGGGAGCATAGACAACAAGAGGCATGAAGGTCCTTCCCACACCGTGTGCAAAATACCTCAGGTGCCAGAGTTTAGCTACGGCACCATACTGCCTAGGCCCGAAACCCAAAGAGGCTGTGGGAACAAAGACTTCGGTTGCTGATCGTCAACTAGCCTAGCGTGAGCGCTAGCGTGAGCGCTAGGATTTTTACGGGTTTGGAGGGGAGGGGCACGAAGTCACCAAGGCGTCAGACGACCTAGATCCCCAGCACTGAGCTCCAACTCCAGGCATCGCATTCCTGCGCGAACAGCTCAAAGACTCGGGTGCGGGAGACAGTGCAGCGAACGAGGCCGAAGAGGGGCAGAGCAGTGCAGCAGTCAGCCAGTGGAAACAGCGATTTCCCCGGATCCCGAACCGGACCCTCTAGTGCCTAAAAATGCATCCTCAGCCCTGTAAGCCCAAAAGCCCGAAAGCCCGAAACCCTGACCCAAACATGGCTGTTGTGAGTGATCATACGTGACCCTGCATATTGGCTTGGCTGGCTTGGAGTACGTAAAGATTCCGGGCACTGGGCAGTGGGGCTTGACTTTCGCGTGAGAGAGCATGTGCTTATAGCGTTTGCATTCTCCCGGAGGGACCCGAATTTTGCTCAGCACAGCACGATATCAACAGATACGACACGAAAAGGAGGGGAGACCAGGGCTCGGGTGGGCCTGGTCAGGTGCGCGGCAAGTCCTGTGCATAGTCGGCAATGTAGAGAACGGAATGCTTGCTGTTGAACCTCCTCCTAGCTGCTTGATGTTGCAGGTCACAAGGACGAGCCAACCAGACATTTTCTCCCGAAGCCCTAAGCTCCTAAACCCGCATTTTTCTCGTCAGTGCAAACCCTTCACGCTCGACACGTTCAGGACGCCCTGCTGACGCAAGCCTTCCTTGCTATGCGCTGGGGCTAAGACGGTCCTAGCGAGACGTCCGAGCAGCAGAGATTTCTGGCTGTTGGCACTTTCATCGCCAAATTTGGGACGAAAACCGCCCAAGCCCCCAAACCACTTCCGAAGCACCAGCCCTACATGCCAGCACTCGAGATCCCTGCTGCGCGGAGGGCGCCTTCTCACCACAGGAGTTGCAAACACTTGAGCGCAGGCCTTCGAAACCTTCAGAACACCCGGGAGAAGGGCTTGTTGAGATGTTTGTTCCGTTGGGTCAGGAGGGGGGGGGGCTTACTTCTTCCCTCCGTCACGAAGGCTTCGCGCACGTGATTCGTACACCTGGCAGAAACTGCATTTCCGACCCTTGTGTTCCAAACATACAGTTTAGTGCCCAAAGCAACCAGACCAGAGCATGCGCTTTTTGCCTTTTTTTTTTGCTGTGGTCCATTCGAACTTCGCATAAGGCAGTCGAAAACACACAATCCGCGATTGCTAAAACCGCCGTATGCCTAGAACCCTTGCTCTGCCATTGCTCTGACCTCTAGTGCCGCACACCGTCTGAGATGCTGAGCCCCCAACGCTGACCTAAGTGGGGAATAGACCCCAAGATAGTAGGATCCCCTTATCACACGGACCCCCAATAAGGCACCCCTAATATCGTAAAAACTCAAGTAGGCACCCACGCGAGCATCGCCAGAAGCTGAGGTGTTTTTGTGCCGTCGGTGGCGCTTGGCCTCAAGTCAACAAGCATCTGCCTGCTTTAACTTGAGAAGTTTGCTGGGAAGAGAGACAGGACAATGAAGAAGGCGGAGGTTGAGCCACATTGTGTGCCCAGAAGGGTCTCTTTTTTTCGCCATCCATCCATGGGCTTCGGGCTTTCACATGCTTTCCAGAGGCTTGTTGGACTGGGTTTAGGGTTTAGGGTTTTGGGTTTTGGGTTTAGGGTTTTGTTGTGCAAGATTGGCCATGCCCGCTAGGCCGGGGGGGTCGGCGGTAGGAGCCTGGCAGCTTAAGGCCGGGTTCCCTGTGCTTCGGTTTAGGGTTTAGGGTTTAGGGTTTAGGGTTTAGGGCTTTATGTTTAGGGTTTAGGGTTTAGGGTTGAGGGTTTGAAGGAAAGAAAGAAGGAAATGAAGAAATGATAAAGAAAGAACGTCGCCGTGGATTTCGGCTAACATGCCTGCCCCTTGCAACAGCAGCACCCCGAGACTCAGCACCACAAATTCTTAACCACGAGCCGAGGTATTGCTGGCGGTCGTCACTGCAATGATTTGGTTCTGTATGATTAGCTTGGGCAGTGTGGCCATGCCATCGAGGATCAGGGCTGTTTAGGGTTTCGGGTTTAGGGTTAGAGTTACGGCTTGAGGGTCAAAGCGTCCTTTGCTGCTAGATTCAGAAGTCGGCTACGTTAATGCATCTGATGGCAGAGAGCTTCTAGAACCGGCTGCCACGCTTTTGCAGCAGGCAGACGGGCAGGATCAGCTTTTCGATGCATGTGCAGCCTTGGGCGCAGGACGCATCAGCACAGCTTTGCTTTTGCTACCTGCGAGGAGCTGCTGCACCTCGTCGGTACAGTGTGCGTTTAACCGCAGTTCCGCTTCCAAATCACATCTGGATTGTGTTTCAGTGCACAGCCTTGGAACCATTAACCCTAGCCGCTCTATATTATAATCAAATAATATGTATATATATATATCTATCTATCTATATATATGTGTGTGTGTGTGTGTATGTATATATATATATATATGCTACCCCCCCCCCCCCTAAAACCCACGTTGTACTATGTTTTTCCTATCGTACACTATGAAAACCTCTCCCCAGAGTTCCTCATTCCAGAATTCCAGATGTTCTGAGACCCCCAATTCCAGAATTCCAGAATGTTCAGAGGCCCCCAGTTCCTGAATTCCAGAATTCCTGATTTCCGGGTTTTTTGAGACCCCCAGTTCCAGAATTTCAGATTGTTGAGAGGCCCCCAGTTCCAGAATTCCAGAATCTGGAATTCTGGAGTTCTGGTGAGGGCCTCGAAAGAATCTGGAATTCTGGCAGTTCCAAGATATTAAGATAAAAAGAAAAGCACAAGTATAAACAACGGAAACACATATCTACGCACGCAAGTCAAGTGTTTAGTATTACATTTTAAAATTAGAGACGGAAAATAAGAGTCTTATTAATCTTAATGGGATTCCTGAATTAAGCTTCTTGGAATCAACGAAGTTAACTAAAGTAATTAAATGAATTACATGAGACAAATTGGTGAAATTGATTAAAATATTTGATGAATTAACAAAACCCTACCATGACCAAACTGGCAGGCCGATCTGTCGGACTTCAGGGAAGAGCATATGGAAACGTGTTTTTTTTGGTGGGGGAGCACAACATACAGTATATATATATATATATAGTTCAATATATACATATATATATATACATATATATAGAGCCCCAATCGAAGCGCCAAGGTTTGCAATGAAATTTGGTCTCTCCGTGCTCCTCGTCGCTTGCCCCTGTGCCCTCGGGCTCGCAACACCCACGGCGGTGATGGTCTCGACAGGCGGGAGTTCTAGGCTGGTTTAGGGTTTACTGTAGGGTTTGGGGTTTGGGGTTTGGGGTTTAGGGTTTAGGGTTTAGGGGAGTTTCGGTAGAAACCTGTGCACAAGTGCACAGTCGCACCAGCGCCGTACTCAACGCACGAACGCTACGCTTTCCAAGCGCCCAGGGGTGGCAGCCCGCCGCGGCATCCTGATCAAGTCAGCGGAGTCTTTCGAGCTGACGGCTCAGCCAGGCTGATACAAGAAACCCCACGAGTAACAAGGGTTCAGGGCCCAAGGGAAGAAGCAGAGCTTTGATAATCCCATAAGCACTCTGTGAGCGGTGACAGAGCAAGCAAAAGCTGTCCACTTGGTCTCGGCTGGTCTGTGACTATCCCTAGCAGCCTAGCAATTCGGCATGAAACTGGTTTTCACAGAAGCCGGCAGCCAAAGCGTGACGATCAATTTCACGATCGGTATAGTCGTGCTGGTGTGTCGACTGTACCGATTCTTCTGATCAGCTTCATTTTATTTGTTTCACAAGTTGAGCTAGAACAAGCAACAAAGCACTTGCTTGCGTAACATTCCAGACGTGTTGCGTGATCGAACCAGCACACTGAAGCAGATAGAAGCAGAGGTAAATGTTTGGTTTGGCTTTGATTTTCCCGTCATGCATAAGATTTCCGATAGTGGCAACTGGGCAGCTGCAGCAAGGAGAGGGCTTAACCATCTGCTGCGGCACGTTGCTATAGTTCCACCTTTTATCGTCGACCCTGGTCAGGAGCTGTCGTGCTGGACAAAACTGGAACTCTTACGATGGGACGTCCCAGCTGCTTGGCAGTCAGGGGATCACTGTAGAGACATTCGGAAACGTGTCCGACCGACCTTGGTGCCTGTGACGGCGCAAACTTAAAGATAGTATGTCGCATTTTGGAATGTGGTGTCACAGCGGCATCTCGAGCCACTGAGGATTGTCATACCGCATTCTTGCACAGTTTGGTGCAGTCTGTTTTCAAGCCATGTTCCGGCCATTCCCATGGCCCGGCCTGTCCTTCCAGACTGAAGGGGGCGGGGGTGTTCGCGAGAGCAACCATGTGGGATAGCGTGTGAGTTTCCGAATGCCAGGTGGGAATGTTCTGGTCAATGGCTGGGACGGTTGGTCTCACAAGGATCCACGACTGTCCGGGTGACTATGCCCCATAGTGTCATGTCTGTTTTGACGGGTCACGGTGAGGACGAGCGCGTTTGTATGCGTTTGCAGATCCTATCGCTGGAAGCGATGGCGAAGGGGGAGTTGCACGCGCAGAGTTGGGAGTGGGGAGGTTCCAAATCCAAAGCCCTGAGCTCCAGAGATCAACTTCAAGGTCGACGGTGCAGGAACTAGCAAGGAGTTAGAATCCGTTTTGCGTATCGTGCGTTTTTGGACCACCGGCGCCGCGGATCACTGAAAGAGATGCGACTTCATACATGGGGTGATGTGGCATAACTACCTCATTTATGTACTAGTTACTCGCTGCGAGTCGTGGAGGCACGGCAAGCTGATCCATCCAGTTTTGATTGCACGCATGCCTTGTGCAAGGAAGTTTCCCAGTGCCGTTTTCCAATCAAGTCGGCCGTCAACTGTTTTCCATCACTTGCCATGCGCTGGTTGTTCGCAGCCTTAGCACCTGCCTTAATGGCAGTTGCGCTTGGTAAGTGGCGGGGGCTGAATCCTCAGCTCCTTTGGTACAGGGCCACCACCTCGCTTCGTGCATTGATGGCGATCTACACTCTGCCAGAGCAGGACGTAAAGGATTTTCTCGCTTCCTATGAGTTGTTTGACCGGGAGCGTGTGTCCGGGAGCCATGATGTCCAGAACACCGTGAACTACTACAAGGTGCTGAACCACCTTTGTGCCGTGGGGGAAGTAGAGAAGATGTACATTCCACCCGTGGTAGATCCGAGCCTCAGCATCTTCGAAAACCAGTTGCTTTGGGAAGAGGCCTAAACCCTAAACCCCAAACCCCAAACCCCAAACCCCAAACCCCAAACCCCAAACCCCAAACCCCAAACCCCAAACCCCAAACCCCAAACCCCAAACCCTAAACCCTAAACCCTAAACCCTAGACCCTAGACCCTAAACCCTATAAACCCTAGACCCTAAGCCAGTTGCTTTGGGAAGAGGCCACGGCCGACCGCCTGGGAATCATGCCTGGCGGTCGAGTCCTGGACCTTGGCTGTGGCCGGGGACGAGTCGCGCACCACGTTCCTTGTAGACGACATGACCCGCCCTAAACCCTAAACCCTAAACCCTAAACCCTAAAACACCCTATAAATCCTAAACCCAAAAAAGACCCTAAACCCTAACATGGGGGGGGGGGGGGCTATTCTACCCTAAGCTGCTAGAGTTCCTTTTCTAAGGTCCTATTGGGCAGGGGTATTAGGGTATATGCTTCTACCCTAAGCTCCTAGAGTTCCCTTTTTTAAAAGGCAGTGCCAGGATGGGCTATTAGGCCTTAAAAATCCCCCTAATGAACCCTATAAAGGGCCTTTGAAGGGATTATAGGGTATACTAGGGCCTTTTAAGGGATTATAGGGTATAATAGGGCCTTTTAAGGGATTATAGGGTATAGTAGCCCATCCTGGTATGGGCAAGATACACCCGAGGTGGCGAGCTACACTGGCGCCCATGTCACCGGCCTCAACATCGACAGGAGCCAAATCCGCATGGCCCAGGCCCACACCGGGTTTAGGGGTTTAGGGGTTTAGGGGTTTAGGGGTTTAGGGGTTTAGGGGTTTAGGGGTTTAGGGGTTTAGGGGTTTAGGGGTTTAGGGGTTTAGGGGTTTAGGGGTTTAGGGGTTTAGGGGTTTAGGGGTTTAGGTGTTTAGGGGTTTAGGGGTTTAGGGGTTTAGGGGTTTAGGGGTTTAGGGGTTTAGGGGTTTAGGGGTTTAGGGGTTTAGGGTTTAGGGTTTAGGGTTTAGGGTTTAGTCAGTCGAGAAAATAGAATCGATGTGTGCCTTCTAGCTATGAAGTATCTCGCCCATGTCCCAGGCGGTATGTCCTCAAATTAAGAGCATGGAAACGTTGGATTTGCATGGGTGGTCTTTGCCGACCAGGACTATGCCAACGTTACGGACCTCCTGGGGAAGCAGCTGAGCTTCGTCTATGGGAACTTCAACGACCCCTTACCTTTTGCGGACGAGACGTTCGATGCTTTGTACCAGGCGAGCTGTCCCGAGCATGCTGCATTCCCAGCCACAAACAAAGCAGTTGGTTCCGTAGCATGCTGGAGTCCTAGATTAACGGAAATGCCTCGACACATTCTTGCTCTGCGCCGCTATGTGCGTTGCTTTGTGCATGGCTTTTGCTCTGGGAGGTACAGGTTCTCACGTACACTGTCGATCCCCGGAAGCTTTTTCGGGAGATGTACCGGGTGCTAAAGCCCGGCGCCAAGCTCTCCTTCCTAGACTGGGTGCAGTTACCAGACTACAATGAGACAGATGCCTATCACCTGGAGCTGCTGAAGAAAGTGAAGCCACTACTGGGGGCTGTGTGGACCCCAAAGGTGTCCGACTTCACGGGGCCTCTTCAAGAGGAAGGTTTCCACATCCTTTCCAGCCAGGAGGCCAGCATCACAGGGGGCCAATATGCCTTGATCGAGAAGGCCCGGAGCTTCTTCGAGGCCACAGGCATGCTCCTGCGGGCCTTGGCTAAGCTCCACCTCATCCCGCGACATTTCGTGACGCTTTTCGACCGCCTCACACAAGACGGTGAAGCTTTCATGGAGTCGGACAGGCTGGGCCTTTTCACCACCAGCTGGCAAATCGTGGCGCAGAAGCCGCCGACCGACGCAGCTTTGACAGCCTAGACGATGTGCTACACTGTCGCAGGTGGTAAATGATACTCGATACACTCGTGTTTGTTTCGCAGCGTCGGTTACAGATTCAGCTTGCGAGTTTGCAGGTGACCGTGCTGCAAGCTTCATAGACTTCGGTGCATGTACAGGAGCCTTCATGTGGGGCTCTCCGACTCAAGTTACTACTTGTGGCTGAAGCATGCCAATAGGAATGCTTTGGTGAGATTGGTTGCGCAGGGACATACAGGGACCGTTTTGTTTGGCCATTTGCCTTTGCAAGTGGCCGAATACAGACCGTGGGAGATTATGCATAAAGGTCAAAAAAGTGCGCGCCGCGAAGAACTGCACGAAAAGGAAAGAGCAGAGGTCAACGACGCACGATGACGCACGACCAGTGCAGCATCCAGAGCTCCGCTGTTCAAGCTGTTGCCCTCAACTTAGGGGTACTTGGAAACTTCTTTTAATTTTTGGTCACTAAAAACTCCTAAGAAACAGCAAAAACAAATTAATTTTGCCGGGGTTCCAAGTTCAGCATAGTCAAGGCCTGGTTGCAATCGCCGTGCGCGGAGCTGCTGTGCAGGCCAGCGCCGCTGGGGAGGACCGCCAAAGTTGCCGCTGGGGCTTGAGGGCTCTGAGGGTTTAGGGTTTAGGGTTTAGGGTTTAGAGTGACGAAAATAGGGGTACCTTACAAACCCGACAGACTATTATCCTCATCATGGCACCCCCCAGAAAGGGTACCCATATTATTCTCCGAAACCCTAAACCCTAAACCCTAAACCCTAAACCCTAAACCCTAAACCCTAAACCCTAAACCCTAAACCCTAAACCTAGACCCTAAATCCTAAACCCTAAACCCCTGGAACTTTTTCGAAGACGTGGCTTCTGCTCTCCCATGCAGCAAGGAGCTTGCAGCACTTGGCCACAGCTCACCCCAGATGTTGGTCCAGGCTCGGCTAGCAGACCCTGAGGAGGGTTCGGGGCTTATGGCTACTTGGAGGGCTTGGGTTGGTGATGGTTTTTTCGCCTAGTTTGGGCATGCAGGGTTCCCTGCCCCGAGTTGCTAAACTGCGGCACAGGAAGTGACAGCCAAGTTCAGGGGGGTGCGGTCGTGGACATCCGAAGCAACCCGTGCCCTCAAACACCCAGTCACCTAACCCTAAACCCTAAACCCTAAACCCTAAACCCAGGACACGGACATCGACACCACCACCTTGGAGTTTGGTCAAGAGCCTTCCAGGCAGGCGAAGCCCTGGGGATGAGGGGTTTAGGGTGTCGGATTTATGGTGGTCCCAGCTGGAGCTGCTTAGAGCCTGGGTTCAAAAACTGGATTTAGGGTTGAGGATTCTGGTTGAGGGTTAGGATTTCGAGGACTGCAGGAAGATAGGTGTTCGGTGCAACATGTTTAGTTCTCGGATCTCAGTTTCTGTGTAAGCCCTGCGTGCGCAAGCTGTTCACTCTACCCGTCTTTGCGGTGCGACGGGCTGCTAGACAGGTGGCGTAGACCAAACCCTAAACCCCAAACCCTAAACCCTAAACCCCAAACCCTAAACCCTAAACCCCAAACCCTAAACCCTAAACCCTAAAAGGAGCCCCGAGGTCTTACAGTCAGAGGTTGAAACTGATTTGAGATAGCAAATTAGAGGCCCACAAGGGATCTCGAAGTCTTTCAACAGGCATTGAAGTTTCGTCCCTGCAGAGCCACGGTTTAGGGTTTAGGGTTTAGGGTTTAGGGTTTAGGGTTTAGGGTTTAGGGTTCTGCAGCAAAAGGGTCAAAACCCTTACAAGACCCTTAAGCAAGCCACAGCTGAAGATCTCGAAGCTCCGCAAGTGCTCCCATGCCCCCGCTGGGACACCTATGATCCCAGGGATTTCATGCTGGGCTTCTGCGTGCTTCTTGCCGCCTCGGCAAGTCGCGCGGAGCACCCGCTCTCCCGAGGGCTGGAGGCCAGCTTGGAGGAATAGAAGTCGGTTTAGGACACTGTCGGGGCAGTCGGTTTTGGGATGCTACATGCTCCCTGAGTATCGCACCTTACCGCCTTCTTTATTAAAAAGTCTAGGCAGTTGGACGCGGGTTCGTGTCCCACTTGGGGCGGGTTTGCAAGGGCTTGCTCGGATCTCAGAGCTTCGGATGCTGCAGCTGCTTGGACCCGCTCATCCAGTTTCACGCATCTGCGAGGCGCTAAGATTGACCTTGCTACCAGTAGTTAGTCCGGCGCAACCTGCCGTCTCGTGCAGGAGGGCGCCTGTGAGATGGCGGACTGCCAAGGTTGGGCCCTTGTTGTGTGTGCCGGTTCGGTACGGTTGTTATTGGCTGCCGATTGCCTTCAGCAATGTGCGCTGTCGGACCAAACAAAAAGCAAGTCCTTCTGGGAGGAAGACAGGAAGGAAGGAAAGACAGAGACCGGATGAGGAGGAGGCAAGGAAGGCCTAACCCTGCCGGGTCTTCTTGTTCGCAGGCTCCAAACAGCGCAACCAAGCCATGCTTTCAAGCGCAGGTTTCTTATGCTGCCGAAGCAGGACCTAAGAATCCAATAAAGGGCTCGGCTTGTAAAAAAAGGGCTGTGCGGACACTGTTGCAAATGGGGGGGGGGGGGGGGGGGGGGGGGCTGCGTAAACAAGGCCCAGCAATTTTTATTATGTGGGGGAAAGGGGAGTTAGGTTATTTGTCTTTTTTTTTTTTTTTTTGGGGGGGGGGGGGGGGAGGAATGTCGTTGTGTCGGGGGGGATTCGTTTTCGTTCTCCGGTTCGCTGGTCCTTTCGTCTCTTCAGGGGCAGAGGTACTTTGCTCTCCCAGTCCCTTCCTTGCCCTTTGGTCATGTTCTTCTGTTCTCTTTGTCCATCTTTTACATGTTTTTTTCCTGGTTTTTTCCTGTTCAACATGGATCTGTGTGCACTTGTAATGTTAATGGAGTCCAATAGTAAAAAGATTTTTGCGACCCCCCCCCCCTGAAGTTCTTCTGTCGGTGTGGTCGGTGCTGCTCATGGATACTTCAACCAGAGAAGGGTTACCAAAACCAGAAAGCTTGACATCACAACCTGTGCTGGGTTGGAAGCAAAGCAAACAAACTCGCAAAAATCACACCCGCTCAGGTAGAGCATGATCCTGATTACTTCAGGGGTGATACCGTGCCGGAAACCAAGAGTCTTGCAGCAAGAGTATTTTTCGTCGGCATCGGGTGGCCCTTGTACCAACCCGAGCAAATCTTTATAAACCTGAAAGACCCACGCGCCCGGCCTCCCCTGGGCCTCCCCCCGAGCCGTCACACAAGGCTGCAGGTTGATAAAACTCCTGTTGTGCTTCTTGCGGAAACATGTGGAACACGCCGAAGCTGGCACCGACTATCTATCCGTAACCGGGGCTCCGCGGTTTTCTGGATGTACCTCATGTAGTTTGCACCAGGTTGCATGGTTGCCACAGTAGAGGATGACGGCTGTATTGGCAGGAGATCCAGCTCAACTACTTAAATTCGCGCCGGCTGTGGAGGATCCGCCATGGAATGGGGGTGAGTGACGATCAGCAGAAATTCGAAGGAGCAGGTCTAGAGAGAATGATCGACATGCTGCCCGCTTGCAAAAGTTGATGTCTAGAGTACTGCAGCTCCGACATTGCATCCAAAAATGTGTGAGAACCGAGCCGACCCGAGCCAGGACTTCGAGTCTGTTCTGGGCCATGGCGTACGCTTTCGATTGGGTTCGATGGATGTTGTGACTCGGCTATGGACTTCCGGTTCGGGCTTTGGTCAGCGGTCATGGCAGCCCACCCCCGTCCACATGGGCGCATTGGGGTTTGGGGTTGCAAGGTTCGAGGGCTTCGAACAGCTTGCAGCCGCAAGACCCTACAAGCACACGGATCTCGGGTTTTGAAGGATAAGCTGAATCAGCCTCCTAGATATGAGTCACCTCTGCCCAGGCTTCGATGGATAAATATTCAGAGTAAAGGCAAACCCTTGGCAAACTCTCAGCGCTGGCAGAGTAGGGTGGCTAATGCTGCTCCTGACAACAGCATGCTGCATTTTTCAATGTGTTTGGCATTTCGAGCGTCAAGCAACCGCCTTCTGTGATTTTGACATAGCTTTCTGGGAATCGGGAAAGCTGTATGTGTGTGTGTGAGGTTTTCGACTTCCTGACAACTGCAAATGGTGCAAGTGGCAATACTTTTTTTCACTTCAGCCTCAGATGCTGCAGGTAAGATATTCGGATGTAAACAACAACAGTGCTAAGTCAATCTTGCATCCAGATCATGCAGTGTTTGCGTGCCTCAAAGTACACGGGCGCCCCAAGGGTTTGACCCGGAGTTTTGACTCTAGCTCCCATGTGTTCTTTGCCTGAGATGGTGGGCTCCGTCGAGTGGGCTGCAGGACAGCTGCACTGGACAGCTGCCAAAGCCCTGTAGAGGTTGAACCAAAAACCGCATTCTAAACGCCACGTGCTCAAAGCCTCCTTGCGGCCCCCTCAGCTTCTCGAACACGGCGCAGAAGGGCTTGCAAGATTGCTTAGGGGAAACTTGCGCAGCTTTGTAGGAGTTATAAGGAGGCGCACGATGACCTCCCCAAAAAGGTAGTTCGAATGGGCCTCAAGTCTGCACTCGGGATTGTTGGAAGTCTTTGGGACTTAGGGCCGATTTTCGAGCATGACCCTAAACCCTAAACCCTAAAGCCCTAAACCCTATGTGATTTCACAACAGAAGTGAAGATCAGCGAGCTGGGTGCTCCCAGTCCTTGACCCCTCCCTGCGTGCAGGAGATTGCCCTTCGGTGAACGATTGGGTGCAAATTCAGTGTCTCGGAAGCATTCAGAGTCAAGAACCCCGAACCCTAAACCCTAAACCCATGGAGCCAGGAAGCGCGAAAGCACCCTAAATCTGGTGCATGGACTTCCAGCTCTAGGGTTTAGGGTTTAGGGTTTAGGGTTTAGGGTTTCCAGCTCTGAGGCCCTGGATGAAGCTACTTAGCAGCGTGTCTGACAGTCCCAGGCCCCCTTCGACCGACTCCCTCTCTTCGGTTCTCTATTCCCCTCCCCCCCTTCCTCCCCTAAGGGTCCATGTACCTAAATGGGGAATACTTGGGCCCCAAAGTCCCTATATAGGAGGTACTTTAAGGCCCAAATACTCCCTATTTAGGTACATGGACCCTTAGGGTCCTAAGACACGTGGTCTCACCCAAGCCTCTTATGGAAATGTAATGTAAGAAATAGACATCTATGTGTGATTGTTTGATGGGTTTATGCGTGGGAAGCACCCACCTGCAGACAAGCTCAGTCATGATCGCCAAGTCGAACAGGGATTTCTCTTATTTTTGAATGCGGGTCGCCGATTTCCGATTCCTTGAGAACCAAATGAACCCTAAATTGGGACCATATGCCCTGTACTACTATAATCCTTATTAGGGTATATGAACCAAACCCTTTTAGGGTTCATTTGGTTCTTAAGGTTAAAGCTTTAAACAACTCCGTTTCGCTGTCATGGAGAGAGAAAGTAGGCGCTCTCTTCTGTCAAGAACAAGACAAGTCACGCCGAACAAGTGCTGTTTTCAGTTTTGATCCAACACCTCAATCGACTTTGATACTACTTTGTTAAGAAACGCATCTCTTTCCCATTGCATTTTCAGAAGATGGGGGACTCTTTTCTTTCTCGTGCGTCTATTGATGACATACGGATCTTTCCGAAAAGCTGCTTAGTGGCTGTTGGCATGCCGTACATGCCAGGTCCTGCTTGGCGCATTCTCGCGGCAAAGAAAGGGCAGACAAATTCCACACAATGTGTTCTGTGTATCTGTGTTCGTGTCGCGCATCATCCGAAGACATTGCCCCCCGCCCTAAACCCCAAACCCTAAACTGCCCCCGCCCCTGAGGCGGAGTCAATCCGCCACCGTCGTTGCTGTGCGTGCAGCCGGTGTATCTGAGCTGACTCCAGGTTGCCCAGGCTAGGCATATCCAGGGTTTGTAACTTCGACATGACTCCAGTTGAAGAGGAAGTTTGCAGAGCTTTGCCCAGGAAGGCAGAGTGACGGCTTGGGGAGCGAGGCGGTTTCAGGGTTGCTTGCCAATCGGGTGTGCCGGAACACTGCAGGGCAGCTGTTGTGCCCACCAGGCAAAGAATGCAAGTGTTGCAGGCAAGCTCTAGGAGGCCGCACAGCACCAGAGACTAACTAGCGCCAATCTGCGCCAATTATTTTTTTTGGCACCAAGGGAGGCATGACGAGTGCATCTGTCAATCATGATCGCCGTTGTGGCGTTTCATCATTCCCATGTTGCCGAAAAGTTGAGGTGCGGCCTTCACTCTACACGCGCTTACTGTGATCAGGCAGTGTGCAAGCCTACCAAGACTTGCGATGTTCGGCCTGCTTGTTTGCCAATTCATATTGTGGCGTCTTAACCTTCGGGCTTTGGGCCTGTGACATCCGGGAGGATATGAGTGGTTTCTAAAGCATCACGAAACCGAGCTGAGGTAGTTGTGGCCCTTGCTGCCTTGCGCGATGCTCTGCAGCCAACGTCCCAACAGGCCACACGCCCTGCCATCGCTTTCTCATGGATGGTGAGAGAATCGGGAAAGATGGCCCCAAAAGCTGCACCTGAATTGGGACACTGCAAAGTAGAAACGCGTAAGATGCATGAGGTTGTTGTTTAAGAAAGCCCGGGCGTAAGAGCTCGCCGAATATGTGAAGCCTTGGAGGTGAAAATACTTGCAGGTCTTGCAACACTCATGAAAGCACACGGGGGCCTGTGTGCCTAAGAAGGATGCAATATCTTGTAGATGGAGAGCACCATGTGATGAAAGTGTGAGATGGGCAAGCATAGTGCATCCTTAAGATGCCACTAGGCCGGGGATTGCATGCTCCACTCAGTTTGAACTCCACTGCAAGTGGAGTACAAGCTAAAGGGGAATACAAGCTTTCCAAACGGCTTAGGGATGTTCAGTGAGTCAGAAGTTCTCTTTTTTTGTCTCTCTCTCTCTCTCTCTCCCTT